AATCCGACTTCTTTTCGAGAGCGAAATTTGTAGTTGGCAAGTGAGTGACGATATTCTCTAGATTACGCAAATTAGAGGGATTTCGTCACGTACAAGATAACTGAGAAATTAGCACTGACTAATAACAACTAAACTTTACACGTCAGGGTCTAGACTTCTTCAATATTCAGAAGTTTGCAATTTTAATTCTGAATTTAAGAAAAATCTCAATCATATCTTGAATTTAGTATATAATTATAGTAACTCATTTACTGTTTTAAATCACGAGGAAAATTAAACTTCTAGCGGAAGTCTACAATAAAATATGTATATATTTTTGCCTCAGTTTTTCTGCCAGATTTCAATGTTGCTCTAATATATCTTCGGGAATGACCAAGTATCACCCAATCCACTTTAGCTCTGTCATGTCGTTTGGTCATTGTTTATTTGTATTTTTATAGTGCAGAGCACTATACAGAATTATTGCAGCTCCAGCACCGGCACTTTAACGGCCTGTTCTCCCTCGCTTGGGATAACAAAGAATTCCTGTGAACGATAACAGTTACAATTTACTATGTTACCATTTATTTATTTTCGCGAATTTCTACTGCAGTTGTTGTCTTGAGTTTTGGTTTTCGTTTAGTAGAAATAATTTCATAGTGTCACAATGACCAGTCAGTTTTGGTTTAGTTTAACTGCACATAGCCTCTGTAAAATTAATTTCGCTATAATGAGTGTTGTATATAAATTTGTCCGCATTGAGTAATGCATCATCATACGGTAAATGATTTAAATCATACGGTAAATGATTTATGTCATATGGTAAATGATTTAAATCATGTGGTAAATGGTTTAAATCATCTGGTAAATGATTTATATCATACGGCAAATGATATAAATCACACGGTATCACTGATAGAAAATTGCAAGATTTCACTCACTATGTGCGCACTTCACATCTTCATTGTCAGTAGCTGCCAGACTTTTGTGTTTCCTAGAATATTTAAAATAAGTTTATTATAAGCTACACTTCAAAACCAACATAGTTTGTTGACGTTGGCTTACTGAAGGAATGCATAAGAAGATTTCGTCGAGTCTGTAGCTGTTGTTGCCACTACCAACAAACGTAAACGCTTCTAAGTTAGCATGGGAATTTTTAAAGAATTTTGATGCACTAACTTTTGACGAAATTAAAAAAGACATCAATAAATTAAGCATCGGTATAATGAGATACGAAAGTTTGCTGGGTCTACTGAGCAAAGACTAATAATCTCCACTAAAGTAGGTCCATAAATTTGTCAGAAGGAGACATGAAAATTATTCTGTACAGACTTTGCAAGTGTCTTGAAGCTTTACCTAATGGAGTGGGCTGGAGGAACATAAAGCTCTTTCTGGTTAGATCGGCTCGGTAAACATCTTCACTACCTCAACATTTTAGCGATGCAGAACAGAAACCTTGTTAGAAAATAAAACTTTTAAAAGTAAGGGAATTCTAAACATGAGCTACTATCTACTTCTCTGCGGCATTCTTTGTATTTTATGTTTGTTAGCGACATAAATAAGACTCTTCATTAAGTTGTTGGACAGTTCAATCGTCATTTTTGCACGCAATACGACATGAAAAAGATGAGCGGCTTAATGTGACTAGATTGTATACGCGGCAGATTCGCGAAAAAATGCTCTGCCTCTTAATATTTCATCCATTAGAGATTTCCTTTTTCCTAAAATGTTGTGCACAGCAATCTAGTACTTTTTTGATCTTTATAAAACTAACGACGTGTTGAAAAACAGATGAAAAACGGGAGAAGCGTTGATGGTTGACTGCTAACGTTGAAACAGGTGTGTTGTTACCACACTTATCATTATATTATTTAGTAAAACCTTGATATTTGTTACAAAATTATATCGCTGGAATTAGGTGAAATTATTCTAATCGAATACTTAATATCTTCTCTCCTGTACATTAGAAGCAAGATAATCAACTGATTTAAAAGTCTACGGAAATCCATTAGAATATTATAGTTACTTTCAAAAGAAACTCCACGGATATCAAAACAAATATTTAACTTACACTAAAAATTGTCTAATCTTAAACGGAAGCTGATAATTATTAGCGAACAATATTCTATGCTATTTTATGGTATTTTTAAATAAATGCCGAAAAATGTGATCGCGCAATCACATTTAAAAATATAAATGCAATTTGCTAGAATGTAATCGACATAAATTTTTCACACATGTGGAAACAGTTTTGAATGCATGGGAGTTGCTGCTCAGTACATAGATGAATTCGGCGCATCGGAGCTTCTTTTTAAATAAAATGAAGACATATTAAATGTAAAAAATGCATCATACCACAGAATACCTCATTATATTACTCACCATGGTAGAGGCAAGCAGGCTTTTCTTCGAATTGTTATGAGATGGCTTCAGAAATAAGGCGTCTTTGAAACTAATAAGAATTGTATTGCAATTCTACGAGTATCAATTGGCAAATGACTCAAAAATCAACGTACTTAATTCTTTGGATTTAGTTTCGTGGACCAAATAAAATTTTTTTTTAATTTTCAAGTTCTTTTGAATATTATAGCAGAGAAAAGTGATAAACAAGCACGGGTAGTGTCGATGATCTCAGAAGCAGGAGACGGAGCAGCCGAGATGCTACTCATGCGCTAGGCACGCCGTGAGTGCGATGCTGACCTTGTCGTCACCCTGTATTTATATGCGGCGGTCCCTCAGGCGACCAATAACAGAATCGCGTATTGGTCACCACGCCCAGACAGCGCCCACGTCTGTGCTCCGCTGCATTCCGTATAAATATTTCTTTGCTTTCAGTTTAAATATTTCTTTGCTTTCAGTTTTCATTGCGCATGAAAGCATGTTTCCTTGGGATGAACGATGTCATTTCATAAGCACGGGTGTGCTTTCACTGGGGTAAGCGTTGCATTTTCCATGATAAATCTTGTTTGTTTTTGTTAACCTTGCTATTAGAATGGAAAAATTGAATTTCCATGTACGAAATTCCAGTTTTGTTTTAACGCAAATTACTTATGAACTTATTTCAGCGCGTCAAGATCTGCAAACATGATTATAATTTGTTTAGATATTATTAATCAAGCAATATTCTCATTACCTTATATATTATTTATTTAGTGCAATCTTCAATCAGAAACACCAAAATTCAGCATCAAGGAGTAATTTATTAACTCGGTAAAGCTAATTTACGAATTAGAGAGCTCTTGCTTTTTTAAACTTACCTCAGGATCCTGCGAACTAATGAAATCATGAGCTAGCACGCACATAAGCAATAGGTTTTGATATACGTCTCATAAACAAGAAATTTAGAACGCCGTGGGAGGAACTCAGGCAGACTCTCAGTGTGTGATGTCACTTTCACGATTTTATTTTACACTATCTCATAATATAAAGATTAACTATCGCCTATTCTTCGTCAAAATTTCATTTTTATTCCGAACAATAATCCAAATACTAACGTAAAAATGTAAAAAACGAATAACTATAGCGTATGAAAATCAATGATAAATATTCACTGAAAATTAAATCAGTAAAGATATCCATGATCCATGCCCCAGCCTTACAATTTCCAGTGATTTAGAAACAGGCTCATGCAGTCTGTCGTCAACGGGGGAGACTGGGACTTGAATTCCACAACAACTTTGCTCAAATGGCTTAGTTTCATCGAGTGGAAAATTAATCACTGAAGTTTCTAAAGTTGAGAGAAGTTCACACATCAATTCATTTAAAACAAAAAAAAAATAAATGAACCCCAAAATTTCCGAATGCAGGAAACCATATTACGCACAGGCATTCCATCGCAGACATATTTTTTTCTTCAAAATGTTTGTTGTGCCGTTCACTAGATAAGAAAGATAAGTTGTTTGTATTGAGAGAGCGTTTGGCATTCAATCCATCGTTATATTGACTTTTTATATCCATCGCAATTCGATCTTTGTTTCAACAAGTTCATATTGTGCGTATTTTTAATTAAGGTGAAAAAATACACTAAGAAAATTCCGTTTTATTATTAGCAATGATTAATAGGCACAATTCATTAAATAATCGTGTGTAACGGTCAAATAATGGTTTATACGCAAAATACGCAAAACAAACATTATAATTACGAAAAATCACCTCGAAGGGAGGGTTCGAACAAAAAATTTAGCTCCAATACAATGCATAATAATAAACCAAACCGTACAACTTGTACATAAAGCTACTGAATCATTTTGGCAATCTCATAATTTTTTAATAATAACTATAACAATTCTCTTATATTGCTGTGTAGCTTCGCAGCCAATTAAACGTTTTAGAATTCAAGCATAGATATTATTATATGTAATAACTTTATTATGATGCAAAATTTTACTATAATTATTCATGTTCGGGAAACCTTTTCTCGTTTGTTTCATTGTCTGAAAAATGATTCCAGTGCACTGGATTCCAATTTAATTTCTTTTTGCACTCGTGACATGCACAGTCAAATTAAGATCACCAATAAATTAATACGTTCATAATTATTAAAATTTCGAAATTTTGGAAGCGCTTTTCTGCCTTCCAAGTTTAGAAGTATTTTTGCATTTTAAATTTCAACTCCAAGAAATTTATTATTCTGATTATTCAACTCTAATCATTTGACTGCTATAGGTCATGTCTTGACAATATTTATTATTCTGATTATTCAACTCTAATCAATTGACTGTTATAGGACATGTCTTGACAATATTTATTATTCTGATTATTCAACTCTAATCAATTGACTGTTATAGGACATGTCTTGACAATATTTAATATTCTGATTATTCAACTCTAATCAATTGACTGTTATAGGACATGTCTTGACAATATTTATTATTCTGATTATTCAACTATAATCAATTGACTGCTATAGGTCATGTTTTGACAATTCAGCAATCATGGAACCAATAATCGTTGATGAGCTGAGGATAGCCTTCGACTGGCCGAACGTTCACGTTGTCGTACTCCCAGAACTGATCGTCAATTCAGCAATCATGGAACCAATAATCGTTGATGAGCTGAGGATAGCCTTCGACTGGCCGAACGTTCTCGTTGTCGTACTCCCAGAACTGATCGTCCTTGAAGAAGTACGACACTGTTGGAAAAAATGAGAAATAATAATAATAAATAACTATTCTAAATTTTAAAAAAACTTGTAGGAAATTTTGAAGTGCTGAGTTTCAAAAACTTGGAGCAATAACAGTTCAAGTTTTAGATGAAAATAGTAACAATAATTTCGGAATTTAAGGAGAGAAACATAACCGAGTTTTGACAAACGAGGAAAAAATGAGAAATAATAATAAATAACTATTCTAAGTATTAAAAAACTTGTAGGAAACTTTGAAGTGCTAAGTTTCAGAATTTTTGAGCAATAACAGTTCAAGTTTTATACGAAAATAGTAAAATAATGCCAGAATTTAAGGAAAGTAATAATAACAATAAATCATACGGTAAATGATATAAATCATACGACAAACGATATAAATTTTGTCAATTGTTTGTTTATCAAAACCGAATTTGACAAACAAACAAATTATTTTATGTTAAACCAAGCCATTTCGGAACAATATAATAATTGAATAATTTGGACAAAACGGGCCTGGTGAGGGATATCAATAATTATAGTGCAAGAGGTACCGGGTTAATAATTGAATAATTTGGACAAAACGTGCCTGGTGAGGGATGTCAATAATTGAAACAGTGCAAGCGGTACCGGGTTAATAATGAATTGAATATTTTGGACAAAACGTGCCAGGTGAGGGATATCAATATTTGAAAAAATGTATGGGGCGCCGGGTTAGTAATTGAATAATCTGGACAACTCGTGCTTGGTGACATAAACACAGAATTATCAAACGAGAAGGACTAGTAGCTGCAACATGGAATCTCCGTGGTATAGAATGGTAGTGTTCTTAGTATCATCGTTAGTAGAAGCAGGGGTTTCATCAATAATTGAAACATTGTATGGGATGCCTGGTTAATAATCAAATCACTTGGATACAGAAAAGACATGAAAAGCACAGCGTGTTCTAGTTATCAGAATATATGATTATGTGGAATTTTGAAGTAATCCTACCAATCGGTGACTTAAAATAGTGCGTGAGTATAATTTAGGTAGGAACCGAAGATTCCATATTATGAGTCTTTCATATTTAGAAAAATTCATTCAAAAATTATATTTTAGATATAAATAAACATTTTCAAAGAAGAAATTTTTCTATTCCGCTCCCAAAAAAAAATATTTTTGAACCTCTGAACATTTGACTTTTTATTATCTAATTCGCAAGAAAAACACAGTCATCAAAACTACAAATCTGAATCATCTCCTAAGCATGAAGATGGAGTTATGATATGCAGTATGTACGCCATCATTATTAGAGCGCAACTTCATTATATATGTCCTTCATTATTTAATTATTGAGAATTTGTGTAACAGGCGCCTGCCGTGCGCACGTGTGGAAAACAGGAGCACGTGTCTTGCATTTGCGTCACGATTGTCAATTAAAGAAATTTTTCGACAACTTAGTGCAATAACCTTAGCAAAAATTTTAATTACCTCAACGTGACTCATTACTATGGGCAGCACAATATAAATAACTTCCAAAATGCAAACTATAATTTGTTGAAATAATTCCTGTATATTCAAAATGATGCTACGATTAAAATTGTTTGATTTTTTACTTCTCATATAATGATTATAATCTAAATTTATAACGTGCACTCAAAATTAGTCATGAGTAGTGGCTTCGCCTATTTCTGTTCCTTTGATAACTGAGTAACCTGTCTGAGGAATCTCGTATGTTATATGAAGAAGCTAGCCGGTTAGCCTAGCGTTAACCGGGGTCGATAATTTAATTCGTGCAATTGTAGAATTACCGTATCCCATATCCCGTTAATAAAAATAAAAGTAATATATGCTGATTAAGAAAATACATGCTAATCTCACACAATCAAACACACACACAAACAACATTAAAAACTAACACAATATATAAAAGATATGTTGTAATCATAAAGTGTGTTTCATTAGTTAGGTAGCTATAGTTATGATTTAACTGCTATGAAGATTAACGTTACATGAAAAAAATAAGGTTTTTCTCAATACGAATTTATCCGTAGTATACTGACGAAGGCACTCACCGACGAACTTGCTGCCTAGAATTATCTCTATGACAGTAAAGTACGCGTAGTTAACTGCGACTTAAGTAGTTGAGTAGAAACTGACCAAAAAAAGAAAGAAGTAAACTGACCTAAAGAAGTAAACTTTATTGTTTTTGGGCCAAAAGAAAGCAGCGTCAAGTTGCGTCACGCTAGATGGCAAGCCCAAGTCTGTGAGAGGTCGGCCACGTGACAAATTTTTCTCCAGACCTCGGAGCTCGAAGAAGTTATTGCCTGTGGAAACAAATATCGTAACAAGGAATTAATTATTACATTTATTATCTTTAATGATAATAACGCTCAATTTAGCTTACAGTAATAACACAGGCCGAAAATTGTTGAAAATCAAATATCATTCAATAAAAATTCACGTCAACTTTGACACGTATGTCTGGTGAGACACTCCTCAGCTGAGTTCTTTTTCATGCAACAATAAAATCAGCAATGTGACAGCCGCGTGAATTCTCTCCAATTGAGTTACTGATTTAATCTAACAAATCTGAAAAATTTCTCGCTGACGACAAGCTATTGCGATTTCCGCAACGAATTGATAAGATGCCAAACGCGTTTTTCAGTCGCTATTCAACTTTTGAAGGATTATATTAGTAAAATTCCTAAATAAATGCTCCGTTTATAACAGTTATTATAATTAAGGGTAATGAAACAGATAAAGAGGAACTCAGAAAATCACTGGCTTGATTGAAATAACTGGCCTTCATTAAATGATGAAGGTGAAAACGATTTTTTAATATCAGAACAAAGATGAAGAGGAATCCTGGTATTGATTTTACTACTATTTTAGTTCACAATTTTAGTAAGAATCAGAAACAACAAGAGTTGCTCGCTAATCGCTAAGCAGCAAATAAATGCGAACGATACACATTCATTAAAAGCTTTACACATAAGAAAAACGAACTTCTAGGGTGTGCGCTAATTAAATCAGCATTGAATTCTGGAAATAAAAACAGAGTTTCTTATTGCCTGACGATTACAAACGTTCATCTCGAGATCTAATATGAATACTAATACAAACTAGAAACAAGCGACTGGTCGAGCAGGTGACCAGCAGATCAAATAAATGCTGCCTGCAACATTATCCAAACACAGTTAATTGTGAAGCCTAAAATTGAACACTAAATTTAACAGCACTGTAGTGGTAAAAGACAGATACTTGTTCTTCAGCGATCAGATAATATTTGGTAATGTCGATTTGACCATCGAAAAATGAGACGCAAGGTCACTTCACTTCTCAGTTATTTATTTCGTAATAATTTATTATCTCATGTCTCCTAATCGTTCATTTTGGGAGCTGAGCCTATTTGTCAACCTATCTTGATCTCGTATTGATACACATGAGAATAATTACGACACTTTTCATCTGCATCATCACTAACATCACCGCGATATACAGGAAATGACTACACTATTTTTGTCACTAGCTAACTATGTTTTAATTTCGTCTACTTAAAGAACGACTATTTTCATAAGCTTTCTGTATAACTGCTTAATACATCGCTAATTATTTTCTAGTTCGTTAAATCAAAAATTTATTACCCGTATGTTCAAACTCAATTTAAATAACTGCCCCTTCCTTCAACTATGCACCAAAAATGTGGATGCAGTATTGGAATCTGCGAAAAAAAATATCCGGCTGCCAGTAATTCGATTATATCAACGGAATTGTTGAATTTACCTCATTATTTTGCGCAACAACATTAATCTTTTGCAATTAAATAATTTCAATGGATATCAGAAATTAATTTTTTATTTACATATTTGAAAAAGGTTATTTTAGAGTATCAAATTCCTATTTGAAAATGACTGCTTGAAGTGACAAGCACTCTGTGATTCACTGGACTACTAGAGTAAAAAAAACTGGTACAATGAACACAAAAATTATGCATACTTACTATCTACAGAGTCGAAATGTCTACAGTGAGAATAAAAAATTTGTTTCGTAAATTTATCATACCCTTTTTTCAGACATAAATGATTGATTATTAATAGAGTAACGGAGTGTTGAAACTCTGACAGTTCCATTTCGTAGAAGAGAGAATAAATGATTGATTTATTGATTGATTATTCAGTAGACCGAAAGAGTATTGCGCCTCAAAAAATTCATTTCGTAGATGACAGACAAAAATGATAGATTTATCGATTGATTCTTTAATCGATCAACGGAGTGTTGCATCTAAAACGGTTTATTTCGTAGATGAGTGTCATAAACGATTGATTTTTGATTGATTTTTCAATTTATATACGGAGTGTTGCGACTCTGAAAGTTCACTCCGTACATGACAGACATAAATGATAGATTTATCGATTGATTCTTCACGATCAACGGAGTGTTGCATCTAAAACGGTTCATTTCGTAAATGAGTGTCATAAACGATTGATTTTTTATTGATTCTTCAATATATAGACGGACTATTGCGACTCTAACAGTTCACTTCGTAGATGACAGACATAAATGATAGATTTATCGATTGATTCTTTAAGATCAACGGAGTGTTGCATCTAAAACGGTTCATTTCGTAGATGAGTGATATACAAGATTGATTTTTTACTGGATTCTTCTATAGATTGACGGAGTATTGCGACCCTGAAAGTTCACTCCCTGTAGTTGATAAACACAAAAGAGTTACGCACCCACAAAGAAGATGATGACGCTGTCGTTGCGTCGCTGGTACGCCGCGTCGATATGTTTCGTCCAGGCAGGAAGGGCAGCGAAGAGAGCGCTAATGGGTGCCGGGTACCCTGACCTCAGCACGCCCCGGCTTTGGAAGCGCCACATGTACTAAAAGTGTTTAAATTAGACCTTCGTTGATTAGTTGAAATAAACCGGCCTAACTTTATGTCAGGGAAAATTTATTCGTTAAGTTCCTCCCACATCGCTACAAGGTCCGGTATATATGTGGGGCAACGTAATTAATGAGGTTTAAACCATATCGACAAATGGTCTGGCATATATGTGGGGGCAAGGTAGTTCATTAAGCATTACCCACATCGACACAAGGTTAACTAGGCTTGAGACGTCATATAAAAAAGAGTTTAATATACAAAAACGGGCCTTAATTCAAAGGTAGGAGAGCTTTCACTCATTTACGCAATACTAAAAATGACAACCGAACATTCTGATTAAATTCCCCAAATTTTATTAAAAAACTTAAAAGAAAATTAAAGATCATGAAAACAATTATAGCATGAATCCACTTCAATTAGTTACTCATGCGTGTGATATCGGGACTTTTATAATCAAAGAATTATATAAATTCTCGAAATGATCACATTTCCATATTTTTGAGGCTAAATTCATTCCACTAATTTCATAAACAACGTTAAGGTGCGTACACAAACAATTTATATGCACTTCATGTGGTAATAAATTAGAATAAAATTTTAAGCAAGGTTCAACATGAGCAATAATCATAGGGATCACCCTCTTAATTGACTCGCATAATGGCAAAGAAATCATTAAAACATGAATTGAAGGAAACCCAAGTTTCAACTCGCTATCAATCTGTGTCCAAGTGTAACCAGTAAATACGTTTTGCCAACAGAATATTGCGATAATCGGAAAGTTTATATGGTGTTTCTTACCTCTCCCTTGAACATGAAGAGATCGTTTCTGATGTTAGCCACGGCGTCAAAATTTCCTCTACAAATGTTAGGGATGTTAGCGTCAACAGATGAGTTGCCCTGCAACCAGCCATCAGACAGCCATGGGTCCGATGGATTTTCTTCTGTTGTTGAAATATTTTCTCTCTCAGCGTTATTTTGTCTTCTTCGTTGTAAGTCCTCTTCGTATCTTCGTATTTCTTCTTCGTATGCTCGCTTTATTTCCTCGTCTTCACGCCTTGCTCGTTCTTCTTGCTCCTTTCGCCACTTCTCCTCGCTTTTTCGTTGTTCTTCTTTTCTCCTCGCAAGCATTTCTTGATATTGTCTCAATGCTTCCTCTTCAATCTGCCTGACTTCTTCTTCATAAGCCTTTCTTTCATCTTCTCGTTTCTTTTCTTCTTCTTCTGCTCTCCTTACTTCTTCTTCGTACCACTTTTGTTCTTCATCTCGCTGACGTTCCTCTTCCTCTCGTCGACGTTCCTCTTCCTCTCGTCTATTTCTTTCTTCTTCGTCGTAATGCTTCCTGCGAATTTCTTCTTCTGTTGGGAATAAAGATGGACTCTGATGAGAATCTTGCTCATTGAGGATCCGATGGTATTCATCAACGGACATGGAATCTCCGTGGTACAGAATGGTAGTGTTGTTAGTATCATCGTTAGTAGAAGCAGGGGTTAGTGCAGTTTCCTCAAGATGACCGTTAGTGTCACTATAATCAAGATTCGGTTCTTCGCCGGCACAGTGATTAATATCGTTTTCTACACTACAATTTGTTTCTCCGTCATATGGATCATCGTTTCCATCGTCTGGTTCCAGCTGCTCACTGGATCCGATCTTACCGTCATCTTCGATAGTTCCGTCAACGCTGTCGTAGTCGCCGGAAGATCCAGCGTCGTTTTGGGTGCCATCTACCGACAATGTTGTTGTTGTTGTACGTGGCGTGGTAGACGTTGTGGTTGGCGCAGAGGCAGTGGTATCATCACTGTGATGCTGGTTGAAATATTCATCATCTCCGGGCAAGTGCCGTTGAACTGGAAAAAAATGATAAATGTCATTTTTCGCTGGCTCGGAATATAGCTCAATTGAGTGCTCATGTGTTTTTTATTAAAGATGTGAATATCTATTCATTGACTCGTCCAATGATCGATACAGTTAAGATAGAGAGAATGTGAATTGTGTGTTTGAATGTGAATTTTAGGCTACTTATTGTGTGTACCTGTATTCTAGGATTTGAACTAACGATGGAGCTGGACTCCGAAACGTTTTCTCTTATAAGAAATGGTGAACTTATTGGCTATTCTCTTTACTTTTAAATTCCTGGTAAATTTGCGACTTGAGCAGCCTAGCGATCTTAATACAGATAGAGAGAATCCATGAAAATTTTTTCACGTTCGTCATGAAATTATGTTCCATTGGTACTCACTATAGAGCTCGTACATTCCCATAACGTCGTCATGGTCGAGGGCAAAGTGTTCGGAGTTGCCCTTGTAGTACGGGAACATAATGGAAGAACGTACGTAGCTGTGGGCGAGACCCAAGGAGTGGCCGATCTCGTGTACCGCTACAGTGAAGAAGTCCAAGCCTGAAGAGAGGTAAATTATTTAATGTATCATAACAGGTAAGAAATTGTTAAGAATATTACTGAACAGGCAGGGGAAATAAAATAGAAGTCCAACCCTGAAGAGAGATGAATTATTTAATATATCATTACAGGTGAAAAATTGTTAAGAATATTAATGAACAGGCAGGGAAAATAGAAGTCCAGCCTGAAGAGAGATGAATTATTTAATGTATCCTAACAGGTGAAAAATTGTTAAGAATATTACTGAACAGGCAGGGAAAATAGAATAGAAGTCCAACACTGAGGAGAGATGAATTATTTAATATTTCATTACAGGTAAAACTTTTTTAGTAATAGTACTGAACAGACAGGGAAAATCAAATTAAAATCACATGTTAATCGTAGAGAATAAAAGGTTTAACTAAAAATCAATGCTACTCCCAAGCATGAGTTGGGTAAGCCATCAACGAGTCAATTTCCAAATTGAAATTTCTCACTGTCATCCATTTGTCATATAGCCATAATGAACAGATCAGATAATAATTTTGAGTATTGAAATGTACAATTTTCTCAAATGCTCTCGAAAAAATTCGTTACATTGAAAAAGACTTCTAGTAAAGTCATAAGTATTTAATGGAAGCAAATAAACAGACCTGAATACTCGTCTTTTGGGTTAATTGCCCATTGTTCACTCTCATCGAAATGAATGTCGCCTCCGTAATGGCCGGACTCGTACGGATAGTACGCATGCGCGAGCGTTCCCCCCTGTCCGTCGAATGGATATCTGGAAACCATGACACGAATTAAAAATTTGAAGAAAATGAATACGAAAACCCAATTATAGGTTTAATTAACATCATACTCAAAGAAAGAATTACTTTACTAGTAAATCGCTGGGAATCACCAAAAACAGTGGTCATCCAATGATCTCCTAATCGTTTTTTTAGCAGGAGACACTCAAATGGATCACAATTCAAGTCAGTGACCAAGGCAGTGACTCGCCTCCTAACCCTCTGTCGACCCCTGAGAGAAAATTTTGTTACCAGGCCTTAAAATGCGAAAAATATTGATAATACTTTACCTGTTTATCTTCCCTATTGTATACGAAGGGCTGACCCTTTGTCTAAGTACTAACTTGGCCTACCCGTCGCAGTGATCGTTTAGATACAAATAGCATTTATAACCAGTAATGTAAACGGAGACGAACAATAAATCACTAACTTGACCTACCGGCCGTAATGATCGTTTAGATACAAATAGCATTTATAACCAGCAATGTAAACGGAGACGAACATTAAATCACTAACTTGACCTACCCGTCGTAATGATCGTTTAGGTACGAATTGCTTGGACTATATCATTAATGTAAAGGTAGACGAACATTTAATCACAAACATGACCTACCCGTCGTAGTGATCGTACTCGGCGAAGAATATGATTATGTCAGCGTCACGGTCGGGTACGTGAGTGAAGTTGAGTCGAGCGTACGCACTCCACACGTCGAAGGCTTTACGAAGCTCCTCGATCACGCTCTCCATGTTGTTCAGCTTGGATGAGTAATTCTCCACACTGCAACATAAAAGAATCATCAAACGAGAAGAAATAGCAGCCGTAAACCGTCTGTAATTAAGATTTAATAGCAATGCAGAATGTAATCAATAACATTAGGCTATGTTTCAGCTCTATACGCGAAAATTTCACAATTATTCTCTCTGTTTACAATTTTTTTAAATGGATACAAAATATCTTTCTCCCTGCCGCTAAACAAGTCAGAGCTAATAAATGTTCACGGAATAAAAATAATTCCCCTAATGCACATCCGTGCACTAACTGGTAGGTGATGGTTCGTGTGTTGCGTGCACTAACTGGTAGGTGATGGTTCGTGTGTTCCGTGCACTAACTGGTAGGTGATGGTTCGTGTGTTCCGTGCACTAACTGGTAGGTGATGGTTCGCGTGTTCCAGCCACCGCCCCCCAGGACGTATCGCCTCGGCCGACCTCGTGCGCTCTCGTTGCCCCTCGACACGACAACGCCCTTCTGCCCCAGCGTCGTCAGGCCTCCCCGAGGGCCTCCTTCCTTGGAGGGTGGGGCCACGTCCGGCACCCCGCAACGCGGGGACTTCATCAGCTGCAAGATTTTAGGGAGAATATTTATGATGATTAATCATTACAATTTAGAAAATTAATTATTCAATTGATTACTGTAAGTTTAGGATATAATGTCACAAGATAAAAAGAAAATTTGGCCTGAGATATATAAGTCAAAGCAAACAAAAACACATTACAATTAAAATCAACTGGGCAAGAATGTTTTTTCATCAATTGTTTAAAAATGTCTCACCTGAATCGTTAGTTCGTCCAGTTCTCCAGTTTGCGGAAGATCGCCAAACTTCTGAACTTCTCTGATGGAATCTTTCATGCCTTGTGGGGTGAAGAGAAACCCGGTCGTCGAGTCGCTCTCAGGCACGTAGCCAAACTGCTGCATGAATTTAATCTGTCGACATAAGGCAGTTTTAATCAAAGTAAATAACAAATATGGAGATTTGTGGTTATAAATATTAAATGAGTTATGAAAAAGGGCGAAAATGCAAAAGAAGTTAGTGAAATGGAAATTAATTTGACAATGATGATTAAAATTTACTTAATTCTGTGAATTCGGAAGTGCTGCTAATCAATTACTAGACTAATATAAATGAAATAAAATAATATTGCAAAAACTTAGAAGAGCTTAAATAAAAATGTCTTATTTGGGACTTAATTATATCTAAGAAATAAAAAATTATCTTTAATTGCATGGATTTAAATTACTCACAGCAAATTTTTTGTCTCTAATTTGCTGCTTTTCTTGACTGACGTTCAATTGTGAGCTCCAGGGCGAAGCAGCATCTGAGGCCAAATTTTCGACTTGTAGTCTTGATAATTGAGTTATATTTTCACTCTCTTGGAACTCCGAAGTTCCTTCAGTTCCTAAAGTATCCACATGAAGTTCATCTTGGTTCTCTGGAAGCTCCTCGCCGATTTTTAAAGTAGAAGCTTCGAATTTCTTTCGTAGCAATGGTGGATTGTCAAAATTATTTGAATCGTTAGACTCAATAATGGGTAAATCGGAGTGTGATTCGGAATCATTTCCCTCAGAACTTCTTTCCATGTTCCACGTATCCATTGGCCAAAATTTGTCATGGTCACGAAAGGAGGTAGGAAGGCTGGTAACATAACGAGAACAACCGCCTAGTATGAGGCAGAAGACAGCAACTACACCACCATTCAGGCAGCCAACCAATACTAGTTTGTTTCGCATTACTTCCCAGTCTACCGGTCCGTAATCCTGCGAGAAAAATAAAAGCTTAATCCCAACAAGAAAAATAATTTTAACTCTTTGTTTGAAACATAGATTTTTGTTGGAATGCTGGAATTACAATGAGATTTGGCCCTCTCAATACAAGTTTAACGTTATTATTCAAAAATAATATAATTCAATATAAATAAAATATAATCTATATAAATAAAAATTCAAATAGATTTCAAAACACCCTAGATAAAATTCTAATTCACAGAAATTCTTACCAAAAAGTAAAACATTGGGAATCGAAACGAAATAAAGAGCCCAATTTACTAAAGAGCACTGATAAGTATCTGTGAAAATACTTTATTTCAATAAAACAACGAAATATTAGGATTGAGGTCAAGAATAAATAACGAGATGCCGACCACAATGAGTCACATGACCTCTCAAGACAATCAAGTCTTGACAGAAGAGGCCACAACCTCGTGAACTCATCAGACTCTATTAGCTACAATGAAGCTCAATTCCTCTGTGGCTGCCGTTGCAAACAATCTAACTTGCGGCCGGTCATGTTTCGAATCAAATGTTGTTGTTGCTAATATAATTTGTAGCTGATAATGAAACGAACAAAGTATGGTAACTTTAATTTTTATCAAACGTGATACTTTCTCATCGCTTATTAATTGCGGATCGTTACCGCTTCTTTTTAGAGCAGGCAGTTCGTAATGCATTTAAAAAATATTAAAATTGCAATTGGCATTTATCTGTTTAGTTTAAGAAAGAAATTATGTTTAGAAAATCTGCACTGCCCTTATTTTCAGCCCGATTAATATTAAAAAAATGCAGGTACATAATTTCAAACGATGAAAACCTTTGAGTTACTTATATCGTAACCTGCTAACACTCGTTATAATCGCCTAAAACGTAGCAACGTTAATCTAAAATGCTAAAAATAAATTATTTTACTTTGCGAAATATCGCTGAATAAATATGTTCTTTCCAATGATTAATATTACATATAATACCCACAAAAAATATTACTTCATGCGTAAATCTTACCTAAAACCAAAACTAAATGTGTCAAGACATATAAAATAATAGGAACTATGAACAATTTCAGAGCTTGTGGTGGGGTACCTCACACAGCAGCTACAAGGATTAGACTGAATATCAACGTCTTCGGCACATCCTTATATAGCCGCCGTGACTTGGAACGCCCTATCCTCATTCGTTCTCATCTTCATCACGTTACTATTTACTCATTCATTATGATACAATTTTATGTGACAATACAATATGATGGCAGAAAGGTATCAATTTACTAACGAAAATAGGACGCCTGCAGTTGTTTAGTTAGAGGCTATCAAATCCATTTATTAAACGATAAAATAACTCCGCATCCTAGACTGTCAGATGCACTAAATTTAAAATCGAAATGACTTCGCAATCATACATGCAATTACACTTTTCTTTCAATGGCGTGTTTTCAACAGGATTTTTCGAAGCCAATACTCAACACTGTTATCTAATATCTATAATTAGATTAGCAAGATATTAAAATAAAGGCAGGTACATTATACCGTACATATTATATGCAACAGCGTTCCCACGTTTATTATCCTCGAGGTAAATAAAGTTTGCCAGGCAGGCAGCTTTCTTCTTTCCGGTGGTCAATCGCAGGAAACTTGAGCATCCGTAACATAGATCACTTCCCACTTTTAGGATTAGATGATTACATTGGTTTAAATAGTTCATTCATCTTCATACAAAAAATTAACATGTTGAATTGATTGCGTTGAAAAATCAACGTCAAACGTAAAAAAAACCTTGTTGCTGCGAGCAAAAAATCTGGAAGTCGAAGCAAAACTTTGCTGGCAGAAATAATTTCAGATGGTTCGCATGATTGAACCGGAGATACTGATGACTAAAATCTGCAAGGTAAAACTAAAACTTTTATTCATAACACGCGTACTGCAAGGTGTATTCATCGGCGAATTCGGTCGCAATTCTCATTTACTTCGTGCTTAGCTGCAGCCGGGCCCATCCGGAGAAATTGCGCAACTGCTACCAACGTCCGTACGCGACGGGTTTCCGATCGCATGGCGAGCGCTGCATCTGATGACATTTCCGATGCAGCAACTTCAGGGCTTCCGAAAATAAGTTCAGCCGTCTACGTATTTAACATAACATATTGATCTCGGCGCTGAAGTGTAGGCCTGATGTGGCCTATCGCCGATTCTTTTCCTTTTCGTGCCTTATTCACAAAAGATCTAAAATCGTGTCATTTGACCGGATCTTTTCAGGACTGAAGATAGTTTGAAATAGCTGCTAGACTTACACCGGGTTTGATATGGTGCTAGGCATTTCAAATCTGAACATATATTTTTCCATTTTCAGCCGTCTACGTATTTAGCGATGAAAGTTATGAACTAGTAAATCTCGAGGCTAAAATAATACAATGGCGATTTTAGAGAATCGCAACCCATTTGAATGTCGGGTATTTAAAATTTTTCCAATTGCTTATCGCACTTTGTTATAGAAATTATAGCAATGTAAATATCTTTCAAGAGAATCAAAGAAACCCGAATGAGCAGGGTAGCGAACCATCCACCTACAAAATCCTCACCACCTATAAATAATAAGAATGAAAATATAGATAGCGACTCCTATAAAGAACACTCACCACGAAGATGTCTGCCTTCAACTTCGTTTGTTTACATGACCGCGCCACACCTCTCGCGCGGTCAGTTCCACAGACCATTTAAATCCGGTTAGGTTCGTCGGCCAGGCAAGGTACGTTTGAGTCATCAGCTATTGTTGCTTCCACAAAGAGAAGGAAATGCCCTAACCTGCAATGCAGGATTCTGTGTCTATGGGATGAAGCGAGTAGTTTAGATCTTCGCCGATGTCAATTTTCTCTTGGGAATCGATGAGATTGCTTGTACTAATTTTAAATATTCCCGTAAAATTCACTGCAATGAAGCTCGTGCTGAGCGTAAATCAAACCAACCATTATTTGCAGAAATATTTCACCGTTTTCAATCAAGGTTCGCAGCACGTTTCGTACTATGAAAATTGACGATGCGAGAAATGAAAGACGATCGGGAAACAAGATTACCTCAAAAACAAATAAATTTCAGTTCATCAATGAAATAATGCGGATCACGGATAATAAAACACTAGAGTACATTCAGTGTGGATCTTACAACAGTAAACAATAGCTACAGTATAATATATACAGCCTCCTAAGGTTCCTTTATAGATGAATAACCTTCATCAGAACTCCTAATTACAAGCAAATTAATCTGTCATTAGTACCTCGAATCGCGGTGGAATTTAGTCGAATAATTTCAACATTTCCGTTTCGCACCAGAAGAAGTCGTGCGCAGCAGAGCAATATTTAAAATTCGGCCACATTCAAGTTTTCAATTTCGATGAGAATAGAGATAAGAAAATTGGAAATTTACACTCGAATTGTGAAATGTAGAATATATCACGAAAAAAAAATTCCATAGGACATAACGTTCGTCAATTAAGCACCAAATTAAAAAAGCTCATTCAAAATTAACACACGTGACGACAGCCTAACAAAGACCAATATTACATGATTACTGGATGAGAAGAACATAGAAAATTGTTGTTTAATTGAATGCAATGAAAGATTTTCCACTAGATAATTGTGATAAAGGTTTAATAATCGAACAGGCAGTTAAAACTTGAAACCCCTGAACCCTAATAAAGTTAGAAAGTTGTAGTCGCCAGGAAAACAACATGAAGCATAAAGGGGATTGCAAATGTTACATTAAAATAAATCGTTCACGCAATGGGCTCAAGCTGTCACTAAAGATTTATTTCACACAAGAAATTATTGAACAGAAAGTATCAAGGAAATCTAGTTCAATTGTTCACCCCTACATCGGCTAGGTATTTTTCAATATCTGGTGGATGCTTCATACCATTTTAGTGGGTGCGAACATTTTTTTGGACACCCTAGTAAACTTCATTATAATCCTGACACATATAATTGAGATTTGAGCAGCATATGAATCACATTTCAGCCAGCTCAATGTAGTATTTAATTGTCATGATAAAAAAAATTCTAAGCGCATAAAAAAAATAAGCTATGCACTTCATAGAAATGCGATAACAGATAATGGTCTACGCCAGGACCTAACAACTATCACCCAGAAAGATCATTATGATCGTATAGATTCTTATCATATAGATCGGCTTTCACGAGCCGGCCACCAAAATACCGTCCATTCAAAGACTCCCGAGCCGCCTCTGCCTCCTGCACTTTGGAAAATTCGACGAAAATTTTTACTATGACTTCAGCGTCTTCCTCTTCACTTTGCTTTTCTTGGTAGATGATAACGTGTTCGACTGCACCATAACGGCTACATTCTTCAGTAATTTCATCTTGCAGCACTTCGTCAACGTCCTCTATGCTCACCATATTTCGGAGGATGATGACAGTGCTTTCACTCTTACGCATGAGCTTCTGCATGACGAGATGCCTCGCACTCTGTCCCTTGATGCTCATGTTCTCTTGCTGTCGCAGAGTCTGCGGCTCAGAATCATCTAACATCTTTTTCTGCATTTCTTCTCTGTGACTGGTTTCAGCCGCAGCCGCGGCAGTATTAGCGGCCGTGGTCGGAGAAATTCCGCCAACTGCGTATGAGTCGCCTGACGGGAGCGTCGACGCGACCATCGGTGCCGAGACCATCGTGGGTGGAGGCAAAGGCTGATACATTTGTTGTGGAGGCTGCAGAGACGCCACGCTCACAGGAGCACCTAAAAGAGTAGGTGGAGGGATCGCTGCACCGGCAGCGAGAGCCGTCATGCCCGCCATTGTACCCAGGCTGCCGAGTCCACCCATGCCACTGAGAGGCCCGCCTAAACTTGTGAGGCCGATGGAACCCAAGCCAGGAGCTGGTGTAGGAGTGCCAAATGATGTAACCACACCAACAGGTGGCACCACGCCAGTCATCAGCACTGGTGGCAGACCTGCTATGCTGGGTACAGCACTCACGCCACCTGGTTACCAACAAAAAAATAAGCATTACGTGCATAAAATTCAGCACAGCGATTGATATTCGCTCCAATTGCAATCAAAATTGAAACTAACATGACCCACCTGGTAAAGAATAACTTGCTATTGAACTTTGTAGCCATCACGGTAAAATCGTGAACTTAATTCAAAACTATTTTAGCTGTACATGAAACAGATTCTTATTGCATGACAAGATGAAATTGCATTAGATCAAACCAGGTGTCACACACGGAATGCTAATGTAAATGAGAAAGAATTGAGGAAATATGGAGCTGAACCAATTCAATATTAGTGACGCACCGGTCGCAAGTGAAGCTCGCTGCTGTTGTTGTTGCTGCGTGAGTGCGGCGGTGATGTTGTTGACGATGCTGAAGTTAGTAGTGAGCGCGTCTAAAGCTTGAATCTTGGCGGTGGCTGCCGCAGCTGCAACCGCAGCAGCTGTGGGCATCTGTGTGGGTGCTTGCAACGGACCCTGTGCAAAATAAATGAGAAATTTTGAATAAATTAAGCAGATCGTAAACGCACGGTGATTGGGCCTGAATAATGTACAAGAAGCAGTGTTTCGTTAAAAGCAATTTAACAACAATAGGTACCAGATAAATAATGAAAATTTCTAATGAACGCCGTTTGCTATCGTTATGAATTCAACACCTAATTAATAGTATTCGTCAAAAAACTCTCTACGACTTCAAATTGTACTAGCATAAAAATGGGTATTAAAGCTCTGGTGGCTTCTACTAATGTTAGTTCAGATATCACGTTTCTTATCATCAAATAAACCCAACACAAATAAATTGTCAAATCTAAGAGGCCTAAAATAGCTCAAATTTAAAACCGCCAAAAATTAACCCTCGTTTGCATTAAAATGCAAAAATTTTCAACATTCAGAGAAATTTACAACAGCAACTGCTCCAATTTTAAACTCGGAAAACTCCAAAAGAAATTATAAAAAGGATTAATACAACGGTACGTGGATCTCAAAAAGCCCCTTCCACTCAACTCTAACTTGTCATTCAGTCAATGAAAAAAAAATAGCCTGATCTATGCAAGCAGTGACGGCTAGTCAAACTCTTAAAATCCCGTCCACTAGTTCCGAAAAAGATAATAGAGTCCTCGTTTCACTCACTCAGGACATCAAGTTCATGGTAGTTTAACTCACATAGAAAGATCCAGGAGGTGTGATGGCTCGTCCAACTCTCAAATACTGGCCCCCCAAGTCAAACAAGTTCATGGAAGCAATAGCCTCCTGAGCAGACTGGGGAGTTTCGTACTCGATGAAGCCATAGCCTTTGTGTTTGCCAGGAGTGGGCGAGGGCGTCAAAACGCACATACGGATCTTGCCGAACGCCTCGAAGACGCTCTTGATGTCGGTTTCAGTGAGGTCCTGGTGCACTGATGCCACGTAGATGCGGTTGTAGTGGTTTGCTTCCTCCATGATCTCATCAATCACCACCTGATAAGACATCTGAGATTTACTTGAGCGAATTAGATTTACGCTCATGACTGAAATGCGACAATGAAATTAAAATACTAATGAAGTGAATTAGGAAGCACAGTAATTTATTGAAATAACTTCTTTGCTAGACTAGGTACTACGAATATCAAATGAGTAGTAATAAAAACAATAGCAGGTCACTAACAAACAAGACTTTCAATAGAATTAGATAAGGAATCAGCAGTTGGGCATTTCATTATTGCAAGAAATATCTCACTGGCAAACTTGAACCTAACCGAAATCATTTTAAAAATTGAAATGAGGGGAAGAGGAAACAGTTACAAAAGAGAATTTGTAGCATCAACAAAAATTTTCATTTTTTTCAATACGGCAACAAAAGCGTGCAAACTGACAAAGGAAAATGTAGAAAAGAGTGTGATTGGATAATAAATATCATAATGCAACAAACAGAAGAAATTTGTAATAAATACATAGGATAGGACCACGCATTAATGCTGAGGTTAAGACACGCTACCTGAGGCATGTTGGAAGGTCTGCCGACTTTAATGTTTCTGCCGCCGATCATGACGCTGTTCATTTGCTCCAGGGCCAACTGAGCAGCTTCTGGCATCTCGTACTCGACGAAAGCGAACCTGGAAAAACACGTTAACTATTAAAAGCAATGGCAAAGCACTGATAAAGAACCTATGGTACGCCTTAATTGATTGCATCAGAGTTTCAACCAGTCACTAATGCCACCTAAAGAAAATATCGCAATTCTACTCAGATACAAAATTTTTAGTCATTAAAAATAAAAATTTATGGTCTTGTTTCATAAAAATTTTCTTTCACCAGACCAGAAATCATATTCGTGGACAATGGAGGTGCAGGAAGGTGAGGTACAGTAAAAGAAACGCTTGGTTTATCAATATGTGACTTTACGAGTAATTTTACTTGATCAGGAGAAGCTTGCACAAAAATAAAGCTTATATGTACCCTTTGTGTTTTTGCGTAATAGGATCCCAGCTCATGTTGATGCTCTTGATGGGGCCAAAGGGGATGAAGGCATTCTTGATTGTGTCCTCCCTGAGCTCGAAGCTTATGCTTCCCACATATACACGACACATCAGCACCAAAGCTTGATGCCGCTGCAGTGACTTGGCTTGCTGCACAATAAATTAAGAGAAGCAAGTTTTTAAACATTACCTTAATATAACGTATAATACATACCGGTAATGCGTTTTAAATGAGCGCTCAACTACCTACAAAATAACAAGTTTTAAATGCCGTACCAGCATGGTGGCAATAGCAATATCATATTATATAATAAAATAATTGGAATTTAAAAAAAACTTACGAAATTTCTCTTGAAGAATTGAATCTACCACCGTAACATTGTCGACGAGCCACAGTTTTCCTAGCTACACTTTCTTCCATCAGCAGCAACCTCGGTCATGTAACCATAAAGTCGGGTACAACGCGTATTGTCGAGCTCTAAATGTTTAATGACTGAACAATAAGATTCTAATCTCCACACGCGAATATCAAAATGACACGGCTTATACACTTGGGCCCGAAATTATTCATACCCATTCAAAAATATAATAAATTCAAATTTTAAAGAACAAAAAAGATCATTTTACAACTTATTCTTCTAGGAAAGGTTGTCATTATAATGAACAACAAATTTAATGCTAGAAAATATTTAGAGAATAACTTTTAATTGAAATTATTTTTAATTTTGTGATTGACTAAATGTTCATAATTATTCGTAGGTACTCTCTTATTCCAGATCCTTCATCATAATATTTGAGAAAAACTATTAATGCAAGTAGTAGCAGGTACGTACTCAATAAATGTATTTAAAAATTCGGTGTTATTAAGCATTGTAATATTTTTCTCCGCAAAGTCTAAGAATATAATTTCTTCCACAATTTAGGGAAAAGCTAAAATTTAGCAAAAAGTTTGAATATGGCAAAGAAAAAAGAGCTTAGTAATGATCTCAGAAACAAAATCGTAAATTCCTTCAGAGAAGGGCTGGGATATAAATCAATATCTGAGACGTTTGATGGTCCTACGTCTACAACACAGAGCATTATAAAACATTCAAATCATAATTAATAGTACGGTGGATAACCTGGTTGTTCGAGGAAGAAAGAAGAAAATCTTCCCTAGATGCGCTAGAAACGTAATCGCACCATTTGCAACAATCCTAGGATCATTAGCAAGGAAATTCTTTCAAATTTGGATGTTCTGGTGTGAAGGTATCAAGACAAACATTGCAAAGAACAATGCGTCGTAACGGACTGAAGGGCTGTCGACCCAGGAAAACCCCTTTGCATAAAAGCATGTGAAAGCGCGTATGAAGTTTGCTAAACTCATGACGATTCCCGAAACTCATTTTTCTCCAAGATTTTATGGATAGATGAGACCAAAATAGAATTGTTTGGGCATATTGATGTTGCTTACGTTTGGAGAAAAAAGTTGAGGCTAATAATTCTAAGGACACAATCCCCACAGTTGCAAGATGGGGGTGGCAATCTGATGTTTTGGGTGATTTTTCTGCTAGGAGACCAGGAAGTCTGATTAAAGTAAACGAGATCATAAAAAAAAGAACAATATCCTGGTATTATCAAACATAAAATCATGCAGGATGCAGAAAAACTTTCTCTCGGTCATGATTGGATTCTTCAGCAGGATAATGATAGGAAGAACACATCGAGAAAAGTTAAGAAGTGGTTCGAGGATTCTCATGTCAATGTCATGGAATGGCCTAGTCGAATTCCCGATCTCAATCCAATTTAGAATTTGTAGCACGTACTGAAAATAGAGGTGGAAAAGAGACAACCTAAAAATTTAAAAAAATTGGAACAGTATGCCTAGGAAGAATGGACAAAACTTGGAGTCATTACATGCAGAAACCTTGTGTTGACCATTACATAAAGCGTTAACAACAAGTTATTAAGAGTAAATGCCATGTTATCAACTATTGATTCAGGGTATGAATAAATTTGGTCATGAGTCAGTTTTATGTATCTTTTGTATCTCTTTACAAAACTAAAAAATGTTTTTTAGTTTCTAAATATATGTTATATGGTTCATAAATTGTTTACATCTGCTTTAAAGTTTTAGATAATTATTTTTTGGTCTATTTGATGTAATTTGTCAAAATAACGTTAGGGTATGAATAATTTTGGGCACAAGTGTATATACCTGTAGCCAGTCAATTTCTTCCATAACCCATGCGCAAGTTACATCAAGACGGAATTAAAGATACCAAACTCGAACTCTGATCCAAACACTCCATACCAGGCTTCATCAATATAATAAGACTGTAGACTGAATTATTCTCCCAAGCGTTAAATCTTTACCTTTGCAACATATTCGAATCAGTTTGTGTGAAACTCATGGACAACCCCTCTGATATTCAAGAATTCTTTTGTAAGCAAGAAAATGAATCAAAATCTCGTCACATCTGACGGTAGAGTGAAGAAGAGCAATTATAATTTACATTTTCAACAAAATTCTGCATGTCTGTATCCAACATTTGTGTTTGGCAAGTATGAAAATTACACAAAATCTCGTCACATCAGACGGTGGAGTGAAAAAGTGCAATTATAATATACAGTTAAACGAAATTCTTCATGTCTGTATCCTAACAATATCTGTGTTTGGTAAGTAAGAAAAGTAAACAAAATCTAGTCACATCTGACGGTGGAGTGAACAAGTGCAATTATAATATACAGTTAAACGAAATTCTTCATGTCTGTATCCTAACAATATCTGTGTTTGGCAAGTAAGAAAAGTAAACAAAATCTAGTCACATCTGACGGTGGAGTGAACAAGTGCAATTATAATATACATTTAAACGAATCCTAACAACATCTGACCTGCTGTTGCTGGTCCAGAGTTTGCTTCATGAGCACCATGCGGATGCTCTGCTCCATGGAGTATTTGGTAGCCTTCTGGAGAAATTTAAATATATGAAAAAATAAAAAAATCAAAAAAATCGAATAAATAAAAAAAATCATGATTTTTTTATAAAAAAATCAAGTGATTTAATCATTTTGATTTAATCATTGCCAACCCTGCCTGGAATATAAAAAAACATATATATAAATATTAAAATAAAAACTTAAATACTTAAATAAATATAAAAACTTCTTCCATCAACAGCAACCTCGGTCATGTAACCGTTAAGTATAAACTAATGGTTAATGTCTGAACAATAAGATTCCAATCTCCACACGCGAATATCAAAATTACATGGCTTATATTGGTATACCTGAAACCAATTAATTTATTCCAAAACCATGCGCAAGTTTCGTCAAGACAAAATTAAAGGTACCAATCTCGAACTCTGACCCAAACGCTCAATACCAAGCTTCAACCATATAATAAGACTGCAGACTGAGTTATTCAACCAAGCGTTAACTCATAACCTTTGCAACCTATTCGAATCAGTTTGTGTCAAATTCATGGACAACCCCTCTGATGTTCAAAAATTTGTTTGGCAAGCAAGAAAATGAATCAAAATCTCGCCATATCTGACGGTGGAGTGAAGAAGTGCAATTATAATATACATTTAAATAAAATTCTGCATGTAAGTATCCAACAACATCTGCAAGAGGTCCTAAGCAAGAAAATTAAAAATAATCTCGTCACATCTGACGGTGGAGTGAAGAAGTGCAATTATTATATACATTTAAACAAAATTTAGCAGGTGTAAATCCAAACAACATCTGACCTGCTGTTGCTGGTCCAGAGTTTGCTTCATGAGCACCATGCGGATGCTCTGCTCCATGGAGTATTTGGTAGCCTTCTGGAGAGAATCACGTTGTTCAGGAGTGAGACGAGGGAGAGGCTGGCACAGCAGGTACATGATGTCGTCTTTGCTGGTCTTTTTGCCTATACATGAAAAAAACTCGCGTTAAAAATATATATATTAATTTAACAGCCCAATAATTTTCAACACCTGGAGAAATATAAGATCGAAATCAAGTGACAACAAAACAACATGAAAGTACAAGATTCATGCTTCACACAGATTAAAATATGGTATATATTCAAATTAAATATATTTTTATAGCATTTACGTATGTGACAAAAATCACCAAAAACTCACTCAAGAATTTACACAAAAATGCAAAGAACACAAAATGTACTCCAATGTGAAGGGAATATTTGGTGGTAACTTTTTTGATTTCACTGCATTACAAAAGGTCTGGAATGACTATAGAACAAGTTAGGAGGTATGTAATGTATAGATAATATTTTACTAGGCGAATTTTTTTCTACCAACTTGTGGCATGGGCGATTTTTCTCTATACAATATTGGTATGTTTTTTTAGAGTCCGGGACTATATACCGTCTACATATACTGTACATACCGATATATACATTTAGACGGTATATACATATACCGTTTACATATACTGTATAAGTTTGTGACTACTACATATACTGTATAAGTTTGTGACTACTACATGTACTGTAGTAGTAGTCACAAACTTATTCAACAAAATAATATTATTAAGTAGTCATGCTGTCTATAAAGAGATTCAACATGAAAAATACATTGTGCTATTTTACTCTGACTACTAAAACTTTAACAACATCAAAACAAAATGTAAAGAATAGATTTAAGAGAGCAAGGATTTGCTAATCCAAATTAATCAGTGATTTAGGCAAGTTCGATATACAATTGTTTAAAACCAATATTAAAAAGATTTACCCTTAACATTACAGATCACTGTCAGCAAATATAAACGGAATAAACATGACACCTACAGAATTTTGCCGAGACATGTTAGAAAAGCCCGGTATTCAACCATGATCCTCAAGAAGTGAGTTTGGTGCGTGAGTTTTACAGTTCAATTGGTAGGTATCATTAAAGAATGACAACAAGAAGCAGTCATTACTCACCACAGTAGACTGGGTGCTTGGTTTGGTCCACCACGGTAGGCGGAGCACGAGGCATAGGTAGCGACGGATCTGTGGGAGTACACTAAGTTAGTAACAGGCAGCACCAGCAGCAGCACCATCAATACACGACATCAATACTGGACCGATTAGTGGATATTCACGCTTAATAATAAGAAAAAAAATGCCTACAAAACTTAAAGATAAACTTGGATCAGCTATAAATTTTGTGAATGCTTATGGATGATTGTGATCAACATATGGTGTTGGATTTTGATGTTCTTGTCGTATTCCCCTACAAATATTTACTGGTAAACTAATCTTTACTAATTAGTTGCAACAATCCTCATAATATTGAATTCACAACGAAGATGGAGAACTTCTTCAAATCAATAATTACAGTTTCCATCAAAAATTCCAACCTTTGAGTAAAATTGCTGGTAGAAATCAAAAATGAAAATCTAAATTCATTAACTTGGAAACAGGACGATTAATAAAATAGGTCTACATTGCTTAAATTAGCTTCACATAATGATTTCAACATTTTCTATTGAAATCCTTGCTAGTCAAAATTTATGAAAAAGTTTATTCGCAGTAAACTTAGATCTTTTGTGTTACCATTTCCAAACTAAGGTCTTTGATATAATAGTTTCGCCACTGTTAGTCATAAACAATTGGTCCAACATTCATGTCGTGCTCATATGATGCACAATCGTTCATATAAGAAAATTAAAGAAGCATCACGCTTCTATGACAAACTAATGAGCATGACAACATTCACGAACACAAAGGCACGAAACAATAGGTTTGAAAACCAACATTTTTGTCATTAGATGAATCATGTCATCTCATTGTGATGCTCATTAGTGAAACACATACAAAAAATAGATCCATGTAAGAGACAATAGATTGAAAACACAAATTCTTGATGAAAGCAGTCAGGAATGACGCAAATGCACGCCATTGAAGGCAGCTGGAGCCAGGAGACCAGACTGCATGCAGGCAGCGTCCTCGAGAGATGAAGAAGTTCCAGCTGTATCGCTTGCTGCAGCCAACAATCAAAAGAGAACAGGCGTGACAAAGAATAACATGGTGCACATTTGGTACGCAATCTGCAACACAACTCACTGTAGCAACCCGAGAGCAGCGGGTGGAAGATAAACGTAGCAACATAGCTGATGCAGCTTCGAGAGGCTAGCAAATACACTAGCCCCACCTGCACCTGCTTGTTTATTCACCTTCCGCTGTTCACGTAGCACACCTTCCAAATTCCCCTTCACATAAAAAAGACAAGCACGCATAACCAGAATTAAATAATGAGGCACCTTGGATTGCATTGCATTGATCAAGAATATGGTTTCCAAGTGATTTGCTATACTAGAAATTATCAATGTGTCAGCCTGCAAAGAATGCACAAACCCATCAATAAACCCTCAAGAAATAAGTCAACTTTCAACGTTGAGAATTTAAGATTGAGACTAAATTGGTCAGCTATAATTGAACACTATTTATGAGTTACAAGCAGCAAATGGTCAAAATGTTTTGAAATGAGATCTCCATTAGGAGACATGTAGTAAATAGGCAGTAAATCGAGCAAATCCATAAGCTGCTCTGTGGTTCAGTACCTGGTGCACTTTCATCTTGGCTTCGCCAGGGCTTTTCCTGCAAAGATAATAAACAAAAACAACCGCAATCAGACAATTCAGCGCACTGTGTCAGAGGTGCACTAGCTGTTTCATGTCTCAGAACTTACAACCGATTGGCAATTCTGATTTATTTGCCATGATTATGATACAGCAATACAAATGTAATCTATGAGTTAAATCAGATCTTAGTATGTCATGTGATCATCACATAGCTTGTGTGTAGCAGCTATTCAAGAATACAAACGCAGCATTAGCTTTAGCATGGGCTGAGGTGGCAGGTTCGTACCGTACGTACGTATCAATGAGAGAGGGATGCCTCATTAGAAAGCTCCTCTTTCATACCTGTGAACATACGTAAGAAAGAGAACAAGAAGGCAACCATTAGTTGGGCAACTTGCACATGCACACCAGGCTTGCTACTTCTTCCTCCTCTCCTTTAACTTCTGGCACACATGAGTAATAACTTTAATGCTATTTGCGATTTCATGATTTGATTTCTGATTAATATTTACCTTACAAATTTACCAGCTCAGTCGTGAATTTATAGGCCCTTTTAGAGAAACAATAAATATTTTTGCAAACAGCTACTTTTCAGTAAGATTCCTAAAGAAAATTGTGTGTTCCGTTTCATTTAAAAACATTGTTTCAGTTGACTTGATTGTGAATCAGAAGTTTTGATTGCTCAAGTTCAATTCAAGTAAATGATAATATATTTGGAAAGGTATAAATCTAAATAGTGCACTGAATGACATTGAATGGAATTGTTTGAAAGTTTTTACAATGAATAATGCGGGCCTGCATTGGACAGCATTCCCTATACTAAGAAATTTGCAGTCTTCAAGAAGGTAATTTGTCCTAAAAACCTAGATTCCAGTAGCTTGGAGATTCTGTAAACATGTTCCAACTCCTAAAATGAAAATTCACACAGAAAAAGCCAGTTTGCACAGTGGTAAAGAAAGCTACATGAATTTTTATTAACCAGCTTCAAGATTTTGCTCAGTATATTTATACTCAAATTCATATGCAAGATTGAACAGGCATAACATTACACTAGTCACCAGCGTAATGTTACAACAGTGGCTGGTGTAACATTACGCAGGTTCTATACAATACATGATCAACAACATAAAGCTTTCATTTGGCCACTGTGCTTCAAAGGAAGTGGAGAGGAGTATGCAATATAAACTTACAACTGATTAATTAATAAAATGAACGCTCACCTGATACATCCATGGCCTCAAGGCAAGGTTTTTTAGGGGAGGGTTCCATGCCTCCACAGTCTTCTGGAGGTGGTGGTGGATCCTGCAAAAACAAATTTAATTTAATTGGGTGCTAAAGGTTTCAATAATTACTGTCAATTAATTGAATAGTTGGAAAATGAAATAATAATGACTTCTGGATAATTATTTATAAAAAATTTCTTATAAAAATGAGCACATACAAATGATATTTATGCATTTAAAAACTTAGCACAAGGACAAGCTGGACTGGTTTTGAATATGTAAACAACCGTACCGTAAAATGGGGTAACTTAGACCACTTTTTTTCTTATAAATGGTGCCATTTTTTTACTAGAAAATAGTTTTTGAGTTTTGGGGGTTTTTGTTAAAAAAACCAAAAGTGGTCTAAGTTACCCCGGGAGTCTAAGTTACCCCAGTTTACGGTATGTAAACTACTGTACCATTCCCAGCTCTCATCAAAATCCAGATTGGAAAATATCCATTTAAAAGGTACTTTTACTGAAGACAAGAAGGGTACGGTACCTATAATATATATTAATAAATATTGGACAAACAAGGAAAAGGGGTACACATTTCTATCTTACAAGCTGCAACTAGAGCTTTCCTGCCCTTTTTAGAACTGTAAGATTTGCAGTAGCTTAGGTTAGGTTAGGAATTCAACTATAGGTTATGAATTACCTATAGAGAAAAATGCACAATCAGGCTGCAAGATTCCGAATGTAGCAAAAATGTGGGGAGTTTAAAAATTATAGTAATCAGCACATAAATTTCAATCATGTAAAGCTGTAATGCTTAAATCTGCATAGTGGTGACCTGGAGTGAAATATATCTATGTTTTGAGCCATGACCAGAGCTTTTCTGCTATTTTTGCAGCTGCAAGATTACTGTTAGATACTATATGGGATAACAGACCAAATTTACCTACAATTGCAGGTAAAAACAATCTTTTCACATCTAGTATTTGAAGAGTATTTGGGAATTGGGAACTGGAATGCAGTTTCAAAAATCATGGGTAAATATGATTATTTCACAACAGATTTTCAAAAATCACAGGTAAAAATGGGCTGTTTTTCTAATTACTCATTGAATAAATTGTAAAAATGCAGTAGTAAGAGGTGCAATTAGCCAGATTCATGAGCATTTTTGCCTGATTCATAGCAGGCTTCTGCTGAGTTCTACCCAGTTTTTCCCTTGGGTTTTCACCAACACTAAGTGTGGAAAACCTCTACCTGCTACCTTTAGGGTGGCAGGGCCGCAACTAGAGCTTTCCCGGCTCCCGCCATTTCCGGAACCATGAGTTTCCACCAGATTAATTACCTCCTATCTAATTGTTAATAAAATTGCACGATCAGGCTGCGAGATCCCAAATTTATTAAAACAAAAGTTTGTCCCATCAAAGCCACGAGATTTCAGAAACAAGTAGGAAAATTCCTTTTCTAGTTTTCACCAGTGATTTTCATAAAAGAGAAATGAGCTGTCATTCTTATTTTAAAGAAAATTTAGGTATTAGATTAAATGCCTCATTTACTCAAGATTTAAACCAATTTCTTAAGTATGATAATACTGGTATCCAGGATACTTTAATGGTCTACATATAGGACTCAAAAATGAACTTGAGGGAGAGTCTAAAAAAACTCTCTGCTTTGTCACTATGCATACCGCGTTTACCCTACATAAGATATTGGTTCAAATCTCAAATAAATGAGGAAATTTAAACTGAACTGATTCAAAAAACTTGATAGTTTGCCACTTTGAGCCTACCTAATCTTATTATCTTAGACATGTTAGGTACTAGGTAGGTAGGACCTAGAAGCTGCAAGATTTCATTAATAAAGAAGTTCCTACATAGCTAACTTCTAATCCTTGTGGTGGGCTGGTGGCAAGCTTGAGATTTTAATAACAAGGCGTAGCCTCGTAGTTATATCAAAAGACAAAAAGGGAATAAAAATTTACTTACCACAAGATTCTCTGCAGTCGGGGAATTTTCGTGTGGAACTCCATTTGTTGAGACAGACGAGCTCTCCATTGCGGGCACTGCTTCAGTATCCATACCAAAATGGAAAAAAGAACGTAAGTTTAGTTTTATCTGCTTAAAGGTCGACAAGCTATTAATTTCATTAAACGCTCGCGCGTAATTCAGGTCGCATCAACTTTACATCGACCTCCAAGTCACACAACAAATATGGCGATGGTACAATCGGTACGCTGTAACGCAGATGTATTTGCGGTTGTTAATTTCCCCAACTAAATCAATGTTTACCCTAACCGCTGTCTTCATTTTCCAGGATTGATCTATTTTAGCCTCACTCAAAAATAAGAGATTTCAAGTTCGAAGAGATTTTTTGAAAGACTTATTCGCCCGAAAAATTCGGCACATTCGCCAGAAAAATTTTATCGAAATTATTTACGAATTGCCGTACACTCAGCATGCAGAATGGATTAAATATTATTATTTACTGTATATTCATCAATTACATGGACTTGAACCGTAATTTTTCCCAGGTACAGGGTGGGGCAGAACCGTTTGAGCAGTTTTGAGGCGAAATAAGAGTAATGGAGGAGAAGCATAACATACCATTTAGAATACATTATGTTTTAAATATAATATCAGGAGAATAGTGGCCGTTAGCTGCAAAACACTGTTAGAGTCGTTCTCGGAAGTTTCCTACAGCAGCTTCACACATATGGCGAGGTATGGCCATAACCTCTGCAATAATCCGTTTCCTTCCACGAAGCTATGTAGGAGCATATGTTCAGTCTTAAAATGCCAAGCAAATTACGGACCAGGCAATAAGTCCAGCAGCGATCTCAATCAATCGTCAGTTATGGAAAGATCGGGTTCCAAAGGCCGGATCCCTTGTGAATCAAGTCACGAAAAAGTCAAGAATCGGCAACTGCCCATGGGCCTATTTCTTCAGTGCCGACACTTCTATTCTATTCCTTAGCTGTGGTAGGGTATGAGGTCGTCTTCTGAACACCCTTTCTTTAAAATGTCCCCCAATCAAAAAATTGCAAATGCTCTAATCAGGTGACCTCGCAGGCCACTGTAAATCACCCCTCAGAGACACCAGACGTCCGGGAAACATGCGTCTCAAAACATCATCATCATCATCAATTTGAAGGGATGGAAATGCAAATCCTCCTCAAACTGTGTGAGGAGATTCCCAAAGCAACGGCATGCCTTCGTGCAGAACGTCTTGGCGAGTGGATGACTGCTGCTCTCACCCTCTCGACATTTTCTGGTGTTCTAATGGACCTGCGTCGGCCGTGTGTATCTCTTCTTAGTGTGCTACCAGTTTCCTCCAACTGCCTAACCCAGGACGGAATTGCGCTCGACTGAGGAAGAGCATTATTGCGTGGAATATTGGACCGCCGCCGAAAAGCTCTTTGCGTTGCAATCACGGATTGATTGTTATCGAAATATGCGCGCACAGAAATGCCTCGATGTTCTCCTGACTACACCATGTTGGCTACTGAAATGGGAATACCGGAGTGGCTGGAAAAAAACCACCCGCACGGTTCTCGACTTAACTAACGGTTCTAGACGATAGATGATAAACAACGAACCAAAACTAATATCTGCGTATTCTACTACAGTGAGTTCCACAACGTGCTTTTCGTTTCCCTCTGGCTTCGTTCTGTGAACTACTTCATTTAGCGGTACCACTTCAATAAAAGTTTTAACGGTTTCATTGCTCTTTAATTTCTATTTGTAACAAAATTAAAGAAATCAGTGTGGTTCGAATTTTCTCTAATAGGCAAGGATAGCCTCCTCGTAGGGGTCGTGTATAGACCACCGAACAGGTACTCTGATAACGATAAAGTGCTAAACAGCCTTTTACCGAGCATGGTTACAAGTTACAACATGTGGAAAGGAGTTCTGTTCTGACCGCCGAAGCGACAGGTGTGCTGTGCTCCCGTGACGGAAGCAGCTTCGACCGGCGGTTACGTCATCGTTATCGAGTTCTGAAGTGCCCATGGATGCTGTACTGTAGTAGCTATTTCAAACTATCGTCAGCCATGAAAAAATCCGGTCAAATGACATGCTTTTAGATCTTCTGTGAATAAGTAACGAAAAGTACAAGAATCGGCGACTGGCCACATCAGGCTTAAAGGTGCCTGTACACAGGGATAGTACTAGCCGCTAGTTCATCCGGCGCTTAAACTGTCCACGCTACTAGCCTCGTGTATAGGGGTTCATCCGCTTCAGAG